TTCTGTTTCTCCTTTCCCGGTTTCTCTCTTTCTCCTTCTCTTTCTCCTTCTCTTTCTCTTTCTCTTTCTCCTTTTTCCTTTCTCTTTCCCTTCCCTCTTTTTCTTTCTCATTTCCCTCAGTGTTTCTCTAATTCTTTTTTTCTTTTCCCTCTTTCTCTCATTCTGTTTCTCCTCTCTTCATTTCTCTATGCAATCCCTACTAACAAACCAAGACAATATAAACCTAGAAAACTGTGAAATATTTTTATTCAACAACACCGTAGTAAAGTTCTTCTTCACTAATCGGTAATTAGAATTGATAATAATAATAATAGTTCAATCCCGCATCTATCGATCGTTAAAATATACACTATACTAGATACAGGGTTACATATTAAAATAAATAAATAAATAAGTTTACAATGTATGAAACTTTGCTCACCATTAACTACTATTAATGATCGAATTACTGAATTTTTGAATTTCTAATGTAATGGTCATGTGCGGGTGCTCGAGTTTAGATGAATGCGAGAGTATTCGTCCACAAACATGGAATTTAAAATTGAAATTAGCTAATCGATATCTTGAAAGGTAAGCGTGCCTTTGCATCGAAGCAAGAACAGACACTTCCATAATAGCATCATTTACTACCACTACCAGACTCCCTTGCACACTTTCTTTTGTTCAGTTAATTAACACCAATTGTCTTACTATTCTAATGAGGTCTATATCATTGTAAGGTCACCTCCGTTATCGCTTCGATGCACAGACACGGTTACCTTTTATGGTCAATATGATAATGATTTTGCTCTATCTTGATTGGCAAAAAAAAAGGTGATCTTAAATTTTGTTCATGTTGTCCCGGTTAGTGTGTTCGCACTGCAAGATGGCGCAAGGAACTGTGAAGGGGACTATTCCAAATAACAGTGCCTACCTCGTCCTACTTAGAGCGCGCACGCGTTCGGGAAAAATCGTATGGAAAGCCTCCTTAAACTGTCTAATTAAACGAACCTCGAACAAAAAATCTTATTTTTCACCATCCATCTCCTCAGGGGAGCTGTGTTTTCCTAAAGACCTAAGCTCAGAGATTATTTTCTCCGAGTGCTTCCTACTTCTGTTGCGCAACTGTCCGTAACAAGTCTTTATCTTAAGTATTTTTTTAAACGTATTTCTCATCTCCTCGTCACGCAGAGCGTATACAATAGGATTGACCATACTGTTGCTATAATGTAACCACTTGACTGACGTAACGATCCGAAGCGTGTCTGTAGCATTGGCGGGGAAACATTCGAAGCAAAACGCGGCGATGATGGAAAGGATGAAAAATGGCAGCCATGCGATGATGAAGAGACCGCTGATCACAGCAACTGTGACTGCAACTTTTCTATCCTCGCGCATGATCATTTGGTTTTTTCGTCCATTTTGAGGGAATACCGGAGTTCTTAATGCTAAAGACTTTGCAGCTTTAAATATTCCAAAATACATAGATACCACAATAGCAGCTGGAAGCGCGAAGCCCAATAAAAATATCGCAACATTGTAGATCTTGAGGTTAAAATGACTTGCACTGAACCAGGACAGCGATGCCATCAATAAAGACAACGACCAAGCGAATACCGAGACGATGTAGAAGCTTTTCTGTCGCAGCTGCTGGAAAGAGTAGGGTCTAACGACAGCAATATACCTCTCGATACTTATAGCAGTCAAATGAAATATCGAGGCATAGGCACCGAATAGGTCAAAAATCTTGAATATTTTGACAAATGTTTTGTATGACGAGCATCGATCGTAGTTGATTATGCACGAGAGCCATAGTGGGATGTTTATTCCACCGACGATGAGGTCCGACACGGCAAGGTTGACAAGGAAAGTATACGTACGAGTTCTTAGCCGATGATTAATCTTGTAAGACGTCATGACCAATAGGTTTCCAACAAGAATTAGAGGCATAAGCATCGCGGTGATGAGTACAGCGAACGTCTCTTCAAGTTGTGAACGCTCTGTGGCGTGCATCATTCCGGTTGTGCTGTTCATAATTGTACGGTCTTTTGCTTCTAATGTAATGTAATTCAAACTGCTCTGGCTTGGACTTAGATAACAAGTCCCATCATCTTACTAATTGGACAAGATGGTAGCGCGAGGGTTTTTGTCGCTAGGATACGATGTACTGTTCTTTGAATCTGTAAATAAACAAACCATAAAATTAGTAATGTAAAATAATGAGGCCCTCAAAATCTGGACTCTGTGTGGAGGAGAGGGGTAGAGCTACTCCTTGTCTTAGCTCACTCTTTTCAGCCGTAAAATGACGAAATTTTAAACTCTAAGTTTCGGTGATAACTTGAGCGAAGAGCTGTTCGGAATTTACGAGAATGATCTAAAAGAATACGTGCATCTTATGGCCATTCAACGTTTTGATAAAACGAATAAACGAATTCACACAATTTGAGCTTAATATTCATAATTTCAAAAATTGAAAATTGACCTCAACTTTTCACTTTTCAATATTTCAATTTATTGAAGGACTAAATAGACCTCTTCGGCTCTGACGTAATATTTTCCCATTTCAGACCACATGTCATTCCCTAGAGTATCATTTCTTTGTTTAAGGTTTGCACTCGTTTGCACATGAGAAGACACATGAATATGGATACAGCTCAAACAAAGAATCTTATTCTCAAGGGAATGACACGTGGTCTGAAATGGGAAAACATTACCCCAAGCAGAAGAGGTCTATTGCGGTGAGAGATTTATTTTATACAATTCCTTACTCATAGAAATTTGTTCTTTCAAAAAATCAACTACATATTGCAATATAAGCTCAGAAAGTTATTTTGTATGTTTCGCGTTTTGATGCTTATCTTTTTCCCGGCAATATTTGTACTCGGCTACTTCCGGACTTTTCCCACCAATTTTTCTCCACTTCCGGCTAGATATTGACATGATTCCTGAAAGTCTTTAGTCGTAGTCTTGATTGACACTGTTATAGCTTTTATTTCTTTTTCCATAAAATGTCTATATATTTAATTAGACAAAGAATTGACCAGGAAACCCTGTCACTGAGAATTCAAATAGGCGTTAACTAAATCCCCTTGTTTGGGGTAGGTTTGCTTGAGTATATCACTGATAGATTTATATCATTTTCTTTCAGTAAGTAGTCCACCTATGAATTTCAGTGTCAAATCCTAGCTTCCATGCACGATTACTGAAAAACTGATTCGGTCTGGCAGTTACAATATATTTGCGCATGCCCAAAGTGCATGATGTAATCCACGTGTTCGTGAATGAAGTAGTTTTCTTTTTTCATTAAATTCAAAGAAAATTAGAATTGCTGAAACAAAGGTACAAAACATGTAGAACAAAAGAAAGAACAAAGAACAAATGGGCACAAGTAAAAAAATGTACAAAAATCACTCTCACAGCAATTTAGTCTTTCAATAAATTGATACTGAAAAGTGAAAAGGTGAGGTCAATTTTCAAATTTTCAGTTTTTGAAAATGTGAAAATTGAGCTCAAATTCCGTGAATTTGTTAATTCTTTTCAAAACGTTGAATGGCCATAAGTTACACGTATTGAAAAGCATTAGTACTGTAGTATGAAGGTAAAAATATTATTGGCATGCACTTTAGGTTTACGTTAGCACGCTCACACTTTTCTCTCACTTTTATCCGGTATTTAACGTGCTTCTGTTGAACGCAGTCTTCCTGTCGCCGTTCATGGCCCATTAGTGGGCTTTCTTTGCTCTACAGGTGATCTGTTCCATTGTATCAATGCACGCTTATCATATCTCATAGCGGATATTTTACCGAATATTATGACTTTTCGTGTGAAATTGTTAAGTGTACTAGCAATAACGCTACTCGAGTGTCACGCTGTAGCCAAAACACGGAAATCGATTAATTGAAAAGGCGGGAAGCACGAGAAAATATAGCTGGAGTGTTTGCGATAATTGAAAACGATTGCATACCAGCGAGAGCAATTCTTTGAAAATCAAACAACTAAATGAGAATAGCCAATTAAATCCCCTCTTCTGTACCGACACCAGTTCAATATTTGAAGCGATTCACCCTCGTTTCTAATGACTTATAAAATAAATTAAAAAACATTGTTAATAACTGTTTGGTACGACTGTTGTCATGGGAACGGATCTGGATGCACTTTAATGGCTTCCGATTCCTGTCTTTCCAGTGACTTTAGATTATCGAGATTTTTACTGTTTTCTTAGAATTTTTGGTTGTTTTTTTTTATTCAACACTCGAGTTGTTAAGTCTTAACAAAGGGCTCAGTATTTAATACCTTTGTTGATGTAGCTAAATGATACACCAGACTTCAAGTAAGAGCATAAACTACTGATCTCTTCTATATCTACGTGTGCGGTCGATTTGGCCATAGTTGATATTAACTATGATCTGCCATCTGGCGAAACATCTAATCCTTCGTTCATAGTATAACCAAATTGGTCGAATAGTAAGAAAACATGATCAAAACCTCGGAAATTTTACCAAAAATATTGCAATGCAAACGTTTATAGCATTGACCAATGTTAGTTAAGTTTTGTCGGTTATCAACTCGTGGGCGAGCTAATTTAAACCCAGTTCACCTTTCCAAAACAAGAGACAAACACCATAGTTTTGATATGTTTAAAAAAATGCGTACTCGATGAGTACATGTGTCTACTGCTGATAGATACACAGCAACATTTTTGAATCATGTATATGCAGAATATTCACTCGCAGGTATTCAGGGCTTAATATTCTGCTTACGGAGCTCAGTTATCCCTTTAAAGGGCTCAAATATTGTCACTGTAACAGTCTGAGTCAGTTTCACATCACATCGGTTCTGTAAAAATCTTTCATGAAGCGACATTGTTAACATGTTTCGTGTAGCACAAACACGCAGTGATCGTTTTTTGCGATAAATTCTTTGTAGATAGTGGAAATACCTGAAAGCACTTGAATAAAACAACACTTGACACATTCGATAAAACCTGTGTGCCTGTAGCTTGTTCCATGCAAAAAACAGATAAAATTCACTGATAAAAATGGCTGCGATGACCTTGTAGAAATCACTGAATCCTACCCAATCATGGTTTGAAACGTTGGTCAAACGTTTCCCAGTCGATAAAAAGTCGTAATCAGTCGCAAACAGAGCAGCTGTCACAGGGATTTGTGTTCCCCCGAGTTATGTGTTCCCCCGAACAAATTTAGCCGGTTTGTAAACCGAAAACCAATCATTTATGGAGCATCCTTGACCTGGGGGAGAGAGTCGTGTCAAAAGATGTTTCATAGGGAGGGGAGGGGGGGACACAAAACACTATTGCTCAGTGTTCGGGGGAACACACATAACTCGGGGGAACACAAATCCCTGTGACACAGCCAAATTGATAGTCAGTACGGTACGCGGGACTTCGGATAACATCGGCTATCCTCGCCATGCACGCCGCTAGCTGTGCACGCGATATCCGAAAGTAATCCGAAGTTTTACAACCCTTACACCGGGATGAACTTTATGTCAGTTGTATCGTATGTCATTTAACTATATTTTTCGCTAGTTAAATAGGATATGAAGTATATCTGGGTAAACTCGATGGCATATGTAGTATGTCTTATTAATATGCAGTAGACACGAAAAACGTGTCTTCAAATAACTAAACGTCTGGCAGTCCGAAATTTTCTAAAATTTTCCCATATTTTTCTTTGAAATCGGCCCGAATCGAAAGAAATGCATATACATTCATATCTTTAGAGTTAAAGCACAAAGGGCCAACGGTCTAGTAACGTCGCGTTCATTTGGGATTCTAAATAAAGATAGACAGTTTCGAATTAAAGATTGGCCGATTTGAAAGAGAAATATGGGAAAATTTCGGACTGGCGGACGTTTAGTTATTTGAAGACCGTGTCCGGCTGCGGGACGTTCAGTCACTTCGTTAAAAAAAATATTATTCGGCATTTTGTAATAGACCGCCGAGACTGAGTTACGAACCATAACAAAACTCAAATAACTAGAAATATTTCAACTAAAAATGTTTTAATTATATATTTAGTTCGACAAATAGTGAAAATCCTTACACCATATTTTGTTCAAGTACTTATTAGTCAAACTTTCGGGATGGGAAGAGTGATTTTGAGTTTGATACTGACAATGCATTAATTTTAAAAGAACGAGTCAAGAGAAATCTCTAAGAACAAGTCACTTAAAAATTTGTACTCAAACAACTAGCTCAGTTAAATTTAACAGAACTCTGCACTGAAATTATCAAAAAACAATAATAAATTAAAGTGTAAAACAAGCCAAAGCTTATTCTGTTAAATATGGACTTTACGAAGAAAATTTAGGTTGAACTTACCGAACTTTGCCAAGAATTTTAAGAGCCCGTTTAGTTTCAATTATGCAAAAGAACTTCGTAGCTATACTCTGCTTCTCACAGTAGCTAGATCTTGAAGTTTACCGGAGTTTTGTGAAAGGATTTCTTCATATAAAACTTCGAATTCACCAAGATCATGGTACGAGTAGTGTGAACTATAGAAATGATTGCAACTTTTGGTCTTAATTGATTTATATGACAAAAGAATATACACATGCAGGTGTAAAAAGAGTTTGAAATTATTAAAGCTTTGAGATTAAAGGAAACAGCGTGAAATATAGGCTATGACGCTGACGGTGTGTAGATGTATATTCAAATTAAGATATTTCAGAGTCTACATAACTGAATGGTAATCATAAACAATACTTATAAACAGCAGCTCAACAGATGCCTGCTAACACAGTTAGTTTTAAAGCATAGAAAAAGAATGCAAAAATCTTGCAAAATAAATTAAAGAATCGAGAAAATTCGATAATCAATTAGAAATGTTGAATGATGTACATTTTCTTTCGGAAACACAACCATTTCGACGCTTTCCTAATTCGACGACTTTTTGACAATTTTCAGATGGCAAATTTAACGTCAAATGTTATGGTAATTTAACTTCCCCGCTGATTCCTAGAGTTGTTGTATATTAGCAAATTTGCCAAAGTATAAAAATAGAGTACGTATTTTAAATAAAGTCAACCAAAACTAACTTAAAGATTCAAAAAGGGCGGCCTGATTCCAAGATAGAAAACCTAAAAACGAGAAAATACTGATTTGATAGCTTAAACATACTAGCGATGGAATTCATGATTACTTCACTGTAATATGTTGTCAAGTACAGTCTTCATTAGATCTTTTTCTCACTTTTTTCCGTTCGAATTTTCGGTTGGTCGAATTTGCCCGAATTTGTTTTTCTAAATTCTTTATATATTGATGGAGTTTCTCTATCAGTCCTTGTGTTAGTGTGAAAAATCATCAAGAAGATTCGGATTTATTCATCGCAAATCGTCACATGAAGAGAACAGTCCGTTTGTAATATAGTGTAGCTTTGCACTCGCTTTGCACGCGTAAACTTGTACTTTAATAAAGAGCCTACGTGCACTAGAGTGAATACCTATAAACAGATGTACAGTTAAATCAATCACTTACTTCCTGCTTATAGTAGTACGAATACTAACGATAAAAGTACGTGCATTGATCAGATACAATGTCAAAATTAATTTACTACTCTCGACTATTAGATTCCGAAGATCAGTCCAACTGTGCACGTTTCACTCAAAAAAATCTAGAAGTTTGTAAATTGGTTAAAAAGGCCGCCCTAAGGCAAAAATTTAATTTATTTTTTCGTACCTGCACGTTCGATACACGAAAGAAACTCATAAATTCATAAATTTTACCAGTGCGTTTCAATTTTAAAAATTATAGTTCGAGTTATAGTTCGTACATTCGTTCGCTCGTTTTCCTCTTTTCGCGGGCTTACAAACTAAATGCTTTCTCGTCCAATCAGCAAACAACACAGGTATCCCATAAATGTTTTGGACAAAACTTTGAAAACCAAAGTCATCCACCATCTTTTTTTTTCAAAAAAATACTCGCTATTCTTTTTGGAATTTTAGGGTGTTTTTCGAAAAAATCATCCCAAAACAAGTGTAAGGCTATAAGATGAATGGTTTTGTGTTTTTTTTTTGGAGTTCAAAAGGAGGTTACGAAGCTAAATGCTTGAAAAAAATTATTTTTCAGAATTCAACTGGCTGCTTTGGCAAAACTCAACAACTGGTTTGTCTGAAATACGAGGAACTCAGCTGAGTAAATTAAACTTAAAGATTCCATAAAAGCTTTTGGAAGAGAGTTTAAGACGAGCTAGTAAAGAAAGTAAAAGGGACCAAATTAAGAGTAAGTAGGTTTACTAAAAGTCAAGCTTTTTCTTATATTGTTTTCGTTCTATAGAATTGTTTCCATTCTATTTTGTACTAAACTAGATTGCAAAATATGAATAATTTACTTAAAATGATTTAAGTTCTTCATTATTGTTTAATGACAGGACGTTTTGACCATGTATCAATAGCCTTCATTACCAGTAAAAATGATTGCTTACGCACGGATTTCAAATATAAAATATCATATTTTGATTGCGAAATCTTGTATCGTAAAGAAGATTGGCTGTGAATTTTTTATTTGATTTGAGCCTGATACTGATAGGTTTAGTTAGTTGATTAGTTGAGCAGATTCTTTTGGTTTCTCTTTCTAAAGCTATCTTTATATAAGTAATTCATCAACCAATATATCAGTGTCCATCTCGCTTCTATAGCCATGGACATTTCTACCCACCATCAAGCCATGCCTTTTCCGATCTATCCATTTATTCCTTCGCCCTTCATTTAATTAACACCTAAATGAAGTCATCCTGGCAGTCGATTACTTATCAGTGATATATAAACACTCATATCTCTATATCTCTTGGTCCTGTACGACTTAATGTACACTATTATTCTATACTTTCTTCCTTGGTCTAGGTATCACGAGCACTTACATTGATATACTTAACTGAAATCCCATATTTGTAAACAGAGGGAAGTGATTCGACATATCAAAGCATTCTGTTATCAGTATTTCGATTACGTAAAATGCCGATGTTGAATATCATCTCATTTTGACTTACCTACTTCAAGGAATCAACTTGTATAAGTACTGAAAAGGCCTTTAGATCGAAGGACATGTTTTGATGCTTGATAGGTATTTGTGTGGTAGTCGTTAAGTCCACCTGGTTTCACTAAACCTAATTTAGCCTTCATTAGCTACACATTCCAGGGGTAACCTATGTGCCATTAACGAGACTAGAGTCACGTAAATGACCTAAAACTTTTTTTTTTTGGCGAAGTCGTTTCCAAGGGGAAAGGGGGTCGGGGGGCTTGAGGATGTACTTCTTATATAATTCTTGTGTTACAAATTATTTTGAAAAAAAGAGAACAGATCGGGTGGGTGGGNGGGGGGGAGGGTACTCCCTTTGGTCCACTTGGTAGGGGTGTTCGGCGGTCCCTTTTTGGGTTAAAGATATTTCTTGTGTTAACATTTTAGATACGGGTTACGACTCAAACGTCAGTTACATAACTCTGTTGTTGTCCAGTCACTGATTAAATGCTACCAGCGCAATCACTTTCTATCATGTATGGTCTTATCTTTTAAGGGTCGACATCTGGACAACACTTAGACACTAGGGCCGGTACCCCCTTCCCCGTGGAGCAGATATTGATGAATGAAAATAATAAATAACAAGATTTAACAGTATCATTTCTAGAGTGTTTCACTTCATCCACTGAATTCGAATTCGAATTTGACATGATTAGAAATTAGAAATTGATTTTTGTGAAGGGAGAAAAACCCTTGAAGTACAGGAGAGAACCAACAAGACGGCAACTCTACTCACATATGCTCTGTCAATTACCTAACTGATTGCCTCAAAAGATCAAAATAACCCTCAATGGAATATAGCATGGAAATTCATTTGTCTTAACACCGTTCTTTTCACTCTACCGATACACAGATTTAAAAGTCGCCAAGTTTATGAAATGAAAATGGTCTGTTGTTTTTACTGTCTTCCAAATCGGTAGGTGCTAATTAAAAGGTAGGTGTGAATTGATGATAGGTAAATATTCGACACTGCTGACAACATAAGACTAAAATGAAATAACACCAAAAATACACATTTACAAACGCGCATCAGTGTGAGGAGTTTTAGCACAAAGGGCAAGTCAAGCGGGATTAGTTGTGAACTTAAGACAGTAAAACATTTTTGCGAATTAAATGAAAAAAATCTTTGTTTGTTGCGGATTTCAAAAGAATAAATTATTGTGGTTTAATCAATTTGTCAAAGTGAAAGGTAAATAATGTTTTCTTTTTTTTCAATTAGTACTAGATTTGAATCTGACTAATACGCAAAGCCCTGGGTTGTTTTTTAATCAGTTTACTTTTTTCTTCAAAGCAAAAAAAAATAAAATAAAATAAAAATACACGGCAAAAATACGACAAATAAAAACGTAAAACATACCAAAAAGCAAACAAGCAAAAATACTGGTTTACCTTTACAATTGTCTTATTAAAATTACATTCCAAATTTAATAAATAAATGACAAAGTAACTATTCAAAAGACGCCGAAAAAGTCGATATTTTTGAAACTTAATTTCCAAGTTACAAATTCAGTAATCGCCGATTTTTTATAACATTTTTCCTGCAAAAAATAGATGCAACCTATAGTGCAAATGAATTGAGGATAAACTAAAGTAAAAAAGCTTTTAACCTCAAATTTCATTAGAAATCCCTACTTTTTCTAGCAGTTGAATCAAGTGTAAAGCGGCAAACATCTAAAAGAAATTTTACAATTTTTGGGGTTTTCTTAGAATGCATTATCACTTATATGTAAAAATATCAAGCATTTCCCCCCAGTCATTTATGAGTCAATGACTCACATTTCATTACAAGTAGCGTATCTTATAGTACTGATGTAACTAATAGAGACAAAAACAGCTAAAAAAGTAAACTTATACTTCATACGAAATAACTCTTATCGATACTGACTCGAATACAGGCAGCAAACAGCCATAAAGAAATTAATATTTTAGATTTTAAAATTTCTGTATATTGGAAAATTCTATCAATCATTACAATAGGTTACTTATTTACATTTCATACAAAGRGTTTTTCCCTTATAATACTTATACTACCTTACACTAATAAAAAAATAACTTATATGAAAGTTATCAATTAAATATTACTTACAAACCAGCGCTGAACGAATCAAAAAGCAACAGTCTAAAAGCAAGTTGTATCCTTAGTTTAATTTTAGAAAGTTATTGAAAATCATAACAAGATCTAACAAGAGGGTTCGTTTTTAATAACACGATAATCAGAACTTTCTGGAAACTATAAGAAATATGTTTGAGACAAAATGTAACAAAGTTTGATCTCCGGTGTTTGTACGGCGCAAAGCTTAGCTTATAATTCTCAGCTTGGAAGGTCAACAATTTGCACAAGGGCCGGCGGTAAAAAAAGAGAGAAAATTAAAAAAAGAATTAAACAAATAAAAGTGAGAGATATAAATCGAAAGTTTCCAATATGTCGTTGGCAAAAATTAATAGTATTCTTGACAATAAAAAATGGTTTAAAAGAATTTGAAATAAAGTAACATTTTCATGGAGGATTTCTTTTTCTCTGGTATCAATGTCTTGGTGAAAGCCGCTCCAAAATTAAAAATTTAAGCGTTTGAAAATGTAATAAAATTATCAATAGAAATCTAAGAGAAAATAAACTTAAAAGAAGCTGTAGAGATTACTTCAGACTGGCTTTATATTACTATAACATACCCTTCCATCTTCTACTTCCAATCTCGTTGAGTGGTATTTGAATTGGAGCGAGCTTGCAGTTATTATGAGCCTAGCAGACTATGAATCACTCAATATAGCAACTGCTTCAAAAAATATTTTTATCCCATAATAAATTGAAGGGTGTTAAAATAGAGCCAATTGCAGATGGAATCGTAAAACAACAAGATATTGTTTATTCCGAGATCTTTTCTGTTTATTGGTTATATTGCTGAACCGTTTCGCTACGAGGAAGTTCACTATACTTCTGCAAAACATGAACTAAATAAAAACTCGCTTTATCTGAATGGAAATGAAATATACTTGTTCTTCAAACAGAACAAGGAAAATAATTTATTAAAGATAAGTAATACAAGACGTATGAAAATGATTTGTTTACCGTACCGATCAAAATCAAAACGGTAAGCGGGCAATATTATCCAATGACGACAAAGGAAGTGTTAATCAAAAAGGAAGCGAATAACTTGAAAACCATTAGATATTTGTTGTTTTTTAATATTGAATTTCCCTTTTTGTGTTTGTGTTAATTATTTTCGCTTATTTTTTAGTATTTTTTGAAATTCTTAATTGTTGTTAGTAATTCATTCAGTATCCGATACATTAGTTGAATTGACGAAATATCCCAAATAATTGATTTTTTTTTTATGTTTGAGATTTCCGTTTTTACTATATACACACCAGATCTTAAACTTTGACACATTTGGGGTATACATATATATATATATATATGAAAATAAAAGATATATATATAGCATTAATAATAGCCTATATGTTATTGTATATTACCGTTACATTATATTACATTGCACAACTAATTCGAGAACCCCGTGATATGGTTCTCAGAGTCGCTCTCACATTCGACCCACGCGAACAGCTTGACATCAATTGCAAATCGTGAACCAAAATTAAACTCAATTTCATTGGGCATTCGTAAAAACAAACAGGCTCATTTGTCCCATTTTCCCATCTACGCATTTAATTGGCGTTCCCCAATGCTCAGCTTTAAGTGCACTGAAAGCGATATCTCGTTAGTCGCGTGTGAGATGAGTCAGCGCTATAACGTTCGTTTACCTAAGATTTATTTTTCAATCCGATAAACCGGCTACGCTTATACTTAGTCAGATTAAGAAAAGGAGGTTTAACAAGTTAGTGTACAAGTGCAACTGATCCCAGTGCTATACACAATTGCAACCACAAAAACATTGCTTGATTTTGACTTCTGAAACTGAACTCGTTAAATACTATTCAGAGCTCGAAGCACGCAATCACCAAGATGCTAAGACAATATATTCTGAAACATAGAAAATAAAATGCAGAAAAATAAAAGGAAATGTGTTTTTTTATATTGTAACTCATAAAAGGATCGTTTAGTTTTTGAAACCTAATCGAAGGTGTGCCACAGGGATCAATCATAGGACCATTAGTAATACAGAATGACAAAAGAAAGTGTTTTTATGACATTGTATCTCATAAAAGGCTTATCTGAAAAATTATCGAAGGTGTGCCACAAAGATCAATCCTAGGACCACCGGTACTGTATTCTGCGCTGGCTATTTTGTACATATTTTGTCCTCTAAAATAATTCTCAACTTGCGTTCCATACTGCTATTTCATCGAATAAAATAAACCTACCAATATATACTTAACACTGTATGCTTAATATATAGATTATTTGTGGCACCGGTCAGGCTGTAAAGCATCGTTAGTGACTTGCTGTTTTACTCTAATCAAGAATAACCAATATCCTAAAGTGCATTTTAGCGGACTGATTCGATCAATTAATTAATGTATCGGATACTACACTTACTTACAATAGCTCTAGAAACGTTGCTCTGACGTTTTTCAAAATACCAATCACATGTGCCGTATGATTTACTAATTGAATGTAGGTTGTGAAAAGCCTTTAGATTCTAAAACAGAATGTTTGTCCATTTCAAGAAATCTCGAGAATATCGATATTAATGACGTCGTAATGGTTTGTATCATGTAGGGCGCAAGGTAAAGTCGATGTATAAAACAAAAAAAATACTCTCTTCAGATACTCCCAAGCCTCTCCAATACGGACGATGGAGTGTCCATATTATAGAGGGGTGTGTATATTATAGAGGTCCGTTTACGAGGAAAAAAGTGCAACGTTGATCAAAACAAGTTTCGGTAATAAAGAGGCAGGGGTCCGTATTATAGAGGTCTGTTTAATTTGTTTACCATTTTCCATACATTGGTTCACTGGTCAAACGCAAAGCCCTCAAGCGAGGCGCCAAGGTACTCTCAAAGGATTATTCAAATTTGAACCTTGCAACCTCGACTGAATGCTTTGTGTTTGGCCAGTGAACCGATGTATGGAAAATGGTGAATGATTGAATAAGTGTAACCGCGATCAAATGAAGTGTCGGTAATTGTGAGGTGTCCGTATCATAGAGGTCTGTTTATGATAAAATAAGTGTAACCGCGATCAAAAAAAGTGTCCGTAATAGTGAGGTGTCCGTATCATAGNTAAGTGTAACCGCGATCAAAAAAAGTGTCCGTAATAGTGAGGTGTCCGTATCATAGAGGTCTGTTTATGATAAAATAAGTGTAACCGCGATCAAAGAAAGTGTCCGTAATAGTGAGGTGTCCGTATCATAGAGGTCTGTTTATGATAAAATAAGTGTAACCGCGATCAAAGAAAGTGTCCGTAATTGTGAGGTGTCCGTATTATAGAGTACTCTTTAATTTCTGATGGAATAAGTGTAACCGCGATCAAAGAAAGTGTCCTTAATAGAGAGGTGTCCATATCATAGAGGCCTGTTTACAAATGAGTAAGTGCAGTCAGGACTAAAAGAAGTGTTTGTAATGGAGTCATACCGAGATGTTAAGCTGTAATCACGTTGAAAACTCCGAACCACTTAAGTGATCTTTTTTCGTACATTGATATTTAGTGACTTAAAACCATTCATTACGTGTAAGTCCTGTGCTTTGCCCGACAACTCAAATTCCTTAGGCAATCCACTTTGACGCGACTCTCAAATGGCTTCCATTAGCAGCTGGGTCTCAATCAGAAAGCGAAAAAGAAAAAAAAAAAAAAAAACTAACTAGCATTACTATCAGTTATGTATTGGCAAACCCGGACAGGTGCTGGTGTAATACGTGCTTGCCCGATAAAGCATTCGATTTGTAAAATATAGACCCGATAACACAAAACAAAAAGAACGAACTCAATGCACAAACTTTGATCTCAACGATTGAGACA